TCTGCTACGTGTATTAATTTAGGCAGAATTGTCATTTTTATTACATTGGTTTGGCCTACCCATTAACAATGAATATTTCTCCAATTATATAAATTTGATATTATTTGTACGAAAAGTGTTTTATCTAGTTGGTAGGTATGTCTTGGCAGGTATACTCCCAGGTATTTTATGTTGCCCATGATTATTTTAAATGACATATCTCTTACTATATCTTCTTGCAGGGCTTTGTTGGTGATGTATAGAAATGGTGATGATTTATGTAGGTTTGTTTTATATCCTGTTACTTTGCTAAAATTATTAATTATTTCAACTAATTTTTTTAGTTGAATCTCTAGGATTTTCCAAGTATATTATTGTATCATCTGCAAAATGTGATCCATTTACTTCCTCATTGCCCATTCTAACTCCTTCCATTTTTTTCTTTTTCTTTTCTTACTGCTATTGCTAGCATTTCTAGTAAAATATTGAATAATATTGGTGATAATGGGCATCCTTGTTTTACTCCTGATCTTATTGGGAAGGCTTCTATCCCTGTTACAGATAAGGCTTGCTGATGATTTTAGGTAGATGTTTCTTATCATTTTGAGGAAAAATCCATTTATACCTATACTTTCAAGTACTTTTAATAGGAAGGAATGTCACATTTTGTCAAAAGTTTTTTCTGCATCTATTAATATAATCATAAAATTTTTGTTGCTTTTGTCATTCCTTATATTGAACTAGCCCTGCATTCCTATAAATCCCACTTGGTCATAATGTATAATCATAATATATTGCAATATTCTCCTAGCTAGTATTTTAAGATTTTTGCATCAATATTCATTAGTGAAATTGGTCTATAATTTTCTTTGTCTGATTTTGCTCTTCTTGGTTTAGGTATCAGCATCACATTTGTTTCATAAGAGGAGTTTGGTCGAATTGCACCTTTGCCTATTATCCCAAATAATTTATTTAATATTGGAATTAGTTGACCTTCAAATGTTTGGTAGAATTCACTTATTTTTTAAATAAAATTTTATTTTCCCCAAATTACATGTAAAAAGAATTTTTTAACATTTGTTCTTTTTTTTTTAAGTTTTGAGTTCCAAATTCTATTTTTCCCTCCCCCTCCCTGAGACAGTAAGCAATCTGATAAAATGTGCAATCACATAAAACATTTCCATATTAGTCATTTTGTGGAAGGAAGAAAGAAAGGAAGAAAGAAAGAAAGAAAGAAAGAAAGAAAGAAAGAAAGAAAGAAAGGAAGAAAGAAAGAAAGAAAGAAAGAAAGGAGAAAAACAATACATTTCTGTCTGTATTCAGATGCCATCCATTCTTTCTCTGGAAGTGGATAGCATTTCTTATCATGAGTCCTTTGGAACTGTCTTGGACCATTGTATTGCTGAGAATAGCTGAATCATTCACAGTTTATTATCTTACAATATTGCTATTACTATGTATGATGTTTTCCTAGTTCTGTTCACTTCGCTTTGCATCAGTTCATGTAAGTCTTTTCAGGTTTTTCTGAAATCATTCTGTTCATTGTTTCTTATAGCATAATAGTATTACACTATAATCATATACCACAACTTGTTCAGTCATTTCCCAATTGATGGATATCTGCTCGATTACCAATTCTTAGCCACCACAAAAAAAGTTGTTATAAATATTTTTGTACAAATAGGTAGAATTCTCTTCTCTATACATCTGGTCCTGATCCTTTTTTTTTAGGAAGATCATTTATGGCCTGTTCAATTTCTTTTTCTGAAATAGGTTATTTAGATATTCTAGTTCCTATTCTGTTAGTCTGGGCAGTTTATATTTTTGTAAGTATTCTTCCATTTCACTTAAATTGTTAAACTTCTTGGTAAATATTTGGGCAAAATAACTCCTATTAGGGGCAGTTAGGAGGCTTACTGGATAGAGTGCTGGGCCTGGAGTCAGGAAGACCTGAGTTCAAATTTGGCCTCAGACACTTACCAGCTGTATGATACTGGGCAAGTCACTTAAACTCTATTTGCCTTAATCTACTGGAGAAGGAAATGGCAAACCATGCCAGTATCTTTGCCAAGAAAACTCCACGGACAGTATGGTCCAGAGGGGCATTAAAAGTCAGACATGACAGAACAACAACAAAACTCCTAATAATTGCTTTAATTTCATCTTCATTAGTGGTGTATTCACTCTTTTCATTTTTGACACTAGTGATTTGGTTTTCTTCTTTTTTTTCAAACTATACTAACCAATGGTTTCTCTATTTTATTGTTTTTATTTTCATAAAACCAGCTTCTAGTTTTATTTATTAATTCAATGAACTTCTTACATTTAATTTTATTAATGTCACCTTTAATTTTCAGAATTTCCCATTTGGCATTTAATTGGAGATTTTCAATTTTTTTGCTAGCTTTTTAAAAATTGCATACCCAATTCATTGATCTGCTCTTTCTCTGTTTTATTGATGTAAGCATTTAGAGATATAAATTTTCCTTTGATTACTGCTTTTGCTGCATCCCATAAATTTTGGTATGCTGTCTCATTATTATCATTCTCTGTAATAAAACTATTTAATGTTTCTATGATTGCTCTTTCACTTACTCATTCTTTAAGATTAGGTTATTTAGTCTCCAGTTAATTTTTAATCTGTGTTTCCATGGTCCTTTATTAAATGCATTTTTATTGCATTATGATCTGGAAAAAGATGCATTTAATTTTTCTACCTTTTTGCATTTGACTGTAAAGTTTTTATGCCCTAATATATGGTCAGTTTTTGTAAAGGTGCCACATACCACTGAGAAAAGGTATATTCTTTTCTATTCCCATTCATTTCTCTCCAGACATCTATCATATCTAGCTTGTCTAAGATTTTATTCATCTTCTTGACTTCTTTCTTATTTTCAGTTTCCCACTATTACAGTTATCTCTTTCCACCTGTAATTCATTTACTTTTTCCTTTATAAGTCTGGATGCTGTAGCATTCAGTGCATATATGTTCAGTATCAATATTGCTGCATTATCTATGGTACCTTTTCACATCATGTAGTTTCCCCGCTTATCTCTTTTAATTAAATCTATTTCAGCTTTAACTTTGTATGAGATCGTGATTGTTACCCCTGCTTTTTCTTTAAACATCAGCTGGAGTGTAATAAATTCTACTCTGGGCCTTCGTGTTTACTGAGGCTGCCCCCAGGCCTTGCATTCCTGCCCCCAGCCCCCGGGTCAGATCCTTCCTAACATCCTCCCGTTGTTTTAGGCTGCATGACTGCTTTAACTTGACTTTGTATTATTTCTACTGCTCTAAAGTCAACTTTGGGCATTGTTTTAAGCTATTTTGAGGGGACTTTGGGAGAGCCAGGTAATTTCCTGCCTTCTTCCACCATCTTCCCACAATTCCCTCTCATAATGATTTTAGACCAATGAGAAAGTAAGCATACAGCTTGATGAGTGTTAGTATCTGATCACACACCTTTTTAGAGTAATCATCTTTTGTCTGTAGTCTTTCCCCTTCTTTATAAAATAGACTCACACCTAGGATTTCTGCTGTAGGTATTTGGTGATGTATTGAGGGTAACATTTTCACTTCCTCAGAGAACACATCTGGCTTCTAAACCTATGTAGGGTCAGCCCCTCCCCTCCACATCCATATTTTGTTTTAAGGTAACCTTTAAGGGTATGGTGCTGTGTACATTGGTGAATGGGCTGGGCTCTGAGTCTGAGCCTGGAAAGTGATGTCAGACTAATAACCATTTAGTGGTCTAAACTACTAAGAATCATGGTCCAGCACAGTCTAGGAAAGTCCCTGCCTTCTAAGTGCAAGCCCTTTGTGGGCAGGGGACATTTTCTGCCACTTGCTTTATATGGTAACCAACTTGGTAGCTTTTGGTGAGAGTTGGTAGCATTGGGGGCATTGATCAGCCTGCAGATGGAGCTCTAGGGGTCCTCCAAGGCCTAATTTCTAATCTACACTCATCCAGTAGCCGGTACAACACCCACAGGATTACATTCCTCCAGACCCAATGCCTGCTGCCACCCGGGCTTCCGTCAGGTCACCCAGGGTGCTGGCAGTGCATTTGCCACTTCCCAGAGCTCTCTCCTCTCTCCTCTGTCCTCAAAGCCCTACAGTGTTGGCCAGGATACCTGTTGTCTCACTGACTTATTTTCACAACTTATTTGAGCACGCTATTTGAGTATCCTAGAAGACACGAGAAAACTGAGGTGCAGAGAACTATGGCATTAACTAAACAGTGATTGAATACAAGACATTCAAAGAATCTTAGCCTCCATGAGCTGCTGGTCCAAACTCCCTCACATTTAAGGCCCAGAGAGAGGAGGACGCTTGCCCAAGGTCACAGAGATAGTCATGCCAGAGCCAGGATTTGAACCCACCTCCAATGCTTTCGGTGTCCCTTCCACACTGTATACAGTCCTACCCTACAAAAGGTCACTTTAAAGCAAAACTCAGATCCTCTGGGGGGACTGTCCTCTAAGCAGAAGGGACTGATGAGGGACTTGGGTGAGGAAAGGCAAACTCAGAAAGTGGAGGTGGGGGGAGGGTAAGGTTATCCAAAACATTAAGCATCTCAGTTCTGATGAGGTTCCAGGCACGATCCTGAGGATACAAAGAGCAAATGAGAGAGTCCTGACCCTCCTGGAAGGCCATTTTACTGGGGCCGGGGGGCATCTGGCATCTGCACCGAGGGAGTGGAGGGAGAGACCCTTGGATAAGGGGGGATTGGGAGTTGGTGTGGAGGCTGCCAGGGAGAAACGCTGCCCCGGGGCAGGCAGAGGGCCAGACTTTCTCTGACCATGAACCCTGCACGGTCACATGACTGGTAAGTGGCGATGGTGGACTTCAAACCGAGGTCTCTGCCGCTGCTGCGAAGCCCGGGACTCTGGGAGCTTTCCCTTCCCGGCAGCCCGGGCCCTCTGGGTCTGCCCCAGCGGCTTCGAGTAAGTCAGCGGTCCTAGACGTGGTAGGTTGGTCTGAAGAGAGCCATCAACCAAATGTTTCCAACCTCTTCCAGGGCTTAAAAAAAACGAGCCTTGTCATGGACCAAGAGCATCCTCGAGGTGAACACAGTATAAACAACAGGAATGAGCTGCGGAAGGTTCTGCATCTAGAGATGCTCTATAAGGAAAACAAGGTAGGAGACTTGAAGGGGGTGGGGCGCTTCAAGTTGGGGGAGGGGTGGCTGCCCTCTCTGAGCTCAAGCTCGGGGGTCGGGGCGGGGGTGGGGGCACAGCCTCGAAGGTGCCGAAGGCCACTGGCCTCAGTATAGTTGGCTCTCGCTCACATTGAGAAGGGAGCAGGTGCAGTGATGTCGACCTTGGTCACCGTCATCCCCCCAGGAGTCCACTTCTCTTACTTTGAGGCCGCCTCAGACAACTGCTTTCAGGCCTTCTCCCTCCCCCACACGATGCTTTTTCGTTACTGATGGTCAGTTATTCCCACACGTGCCATTTTCTCCTAGTCTGTTCTAAGGAAAAGCTGCCTCAGCCCAGCTTTCCACTCCTGCTTATCACCTTCAGCATTCTCCTCTAACAAGGTGCCTTGCCCAAATGTCAGAATCCTACACAATACCTTAAACTCGATCAACAGGTCATTCAGCCAACAAACATTTACTAAGCGCCTTGGTTGTGCTAGATGTTGGGACATGAAGACAAAAGGGAAACATTCCCTGCCCTTGGGTCAAAACCTGTGGCTTATGTTCCATTGAAGGAATCAACGTGTAAGCTGTCAGGAAATTCGAGATCTATACACACCCAGTAATTTCTTGGGCAGAAGGCCTCCTGTAGGAGGGGGCCTAGGGGCTGTAGAGGGGAAGTTGAGGAAATGCATTTCAGGCATGGGAGAGACCTGTGCAGAGATAGGAAAGGGAATGTCATAGTGAGAACATCCAGGTAAGCTCGAGATAGAGCATGTGAAAGAGAGTGGGTTCACGTGATCATCCTTGTAGAAATAGAAGGGACCCTAGAAGCCAGTCCTTTCATTTGACAGATGAGGAAACTGAGGCTGAGAGAAAAGAGAAATTTCTTGCCCAGGGTCATATAGCTAGGATGTTTCTGAGGCTGGATTTGTCTCACAGCTCAGCAATTAGATTACAAAGGGCTTTAAATGCCCAACAGAGGAGTTTGTGTCGTCTCCTGGAGGCAAGAGGAAGTCATAGAGCCTTATGAGCAGGAATATCCGTTTGGCCACTGTGTGGAAGATGGCCTGGAGAGGGAAGAAACCAATTATGAAGCCTTTGCTTCAGGTGAGAGGTGATAAGGGCTGAGTAGAGGGAAGGGGATGGATGAATGGGTGGGAGAGGTGCTGTAGAGGCGTAAAGCCGACAAGATGAGATAACAGATCGGCTATGAGAGGAAAGGGAGAACCAAGGGTTATATCTGACACCCATACTGGGTACTCCAGGGCCTCCCAGTGAATGGTGGGGGCTTTTGACAGAAAGAGGGAAGGGAGGAAGAAGGAAGGGTTTAGGGACAAAAGAGGATGAGTTTCGTTTTGGACATGTTGAGTTTGAGGTGCCTATGGAAGATCCTGTTGGAAATGTCCAACAGACAATTATTGATGTGGGACTGGAAGTCAGGAGAGAGCGGGGCTGGACAGATAGATTTGGGAGTTGCCCAGGGACAAGATGTGCCAAGTGGTAAGATCTGGGCTATAGATTCCATTGGCCACTGCCCTTTGCTTTAGAAACACAGCCAGAGGTGAATTCAAAAGAGGTTATTTTAGGGCTTTAGGGAATCCTCATTTTGCACTTTACAATTATGGAGCAGACTTAATTATAGATGTTTTCTATTTAGTGGGATGAAGACTCTCCCACCTACTAAAAATATTACCATTAAAATACAGGAAAGATGAGGTCTTTCCAGGAATCATGCTGCCTTCTTTCTCAGAGTGAACGGTGAACAAGGGGTATAATTATGTAATTGACAGGCTATGTATTTGTATATTCTATAGACTCCCCCAAAGACAGGATACTTATCAGCCATGAATGAAATGCATTTAGTTTTTTTAAATTTATTTTGATTTATCAACATATGCTTTTGAGTTTCAAATTTTTCTCCCCCTTCCTCCCCACCACCCTCCCAAGAAGGTGCACAATCTGATATAGGTTATACATATACATTCCTATTAAATATATTTTCACATTAGTGATGTTGTAAATAAGAATTAGAACCAATAGGAGGAACCACCAGAAAGAGGAAACAAAACTCAACAGGAGAGGAAAAAAAATAGCAAATAGTATGCTTTGATCTGCATTCAAATTCCATAGTTCTTTCTTTGGATATGGATAGCATTTTCCATCACGAGAAATGCATTATTTAAGAGAAATGTGCAAATAACCTATCAGTTACATATCCTTGTTCATGTTCACTCTGAGAAGGAAGGCAGCATGATTCCTGGAAAGTCCTTGTCTTTCCTGCATTTTATGGAAATATCTTCAAGTTAGAAGAATTTTTAATCCATTAAGCAGAAAACATCTGTCTTCTGCTTCATAATAGGCTGTGCAAAATTGAGATAACAGGCCCTCACCTCTCTCTAGCTCACCTCTGGCCATGTTTCTAAAGCAAAGTGAAATGGTCAAAGGAAGTGAAGTCATTCAGGCCCGAGTTGTGATTTCAACTCCTGAGTTAGGAGCCACCTTCTCTCCCAAGGCAGCTCCACACATTCTCTGCAGCTTAGGAAGGTGCCTAAAGCATGTGCTCAGAGTCACACAGGATACGTCAGAGGCAACACTGGAAACCAGGTCTTGGTGGCCAGCTACCACTACCCCCTGCTACCTCTCCTGGTGAGATCCTAAACTGGGCAATTGTCTGCTTAATGTTAGCTATTCCAGAGCCCTGGGGTTTCACTCGCCCGTGTGGAAGTACATCTTCCACCAGGGTAGATGTAAACACTTTATGCTCTATGCAGCTGTGTCTGAAAGGGCTCATGGCCCCTGGTGGCTCATTTTCTGGGGATGTGCCTCTGTGAATTTTGCTAGGCCAGTCCTGCCTTGGGAGAGCCTGGAAGAACTTGAGTGGGGGGGGGGGGTGTCTCCTGTGTCATCCCCAGTCATCCTGGTTCTCTTCAGACCTAGTCAAAGTGCAGTTTTTGGGTCATCCAGAACTCCTGTAACATCTCCTGTAATATTCCCTTCTGATGATGGGTGCTCCTACCATTGGAGAGAATCAGAAAGATGAACTGGGTCAGTCTGGTTTGCTGCTTTGAAGACTGAGACAACTCCAGTGTTCTGGATTCCGGTCCTGGGCGTTCAGTGATCTGATTCAGATGAGTTGTGTTTAATGAACTAGGCTACAAGAACTGACAGCCCGCTGTGCCTGGGCCTGCGGGGATTCTGCTCCTGCTTTCTCTGAGCTGTCCTCAGTTGCCTGCTGGACAGCTCCACGTGAGTCTCGAGCAGGGTCTCAAACTCAACCTGCCCAAACTTAACTTTCCATCATCTTCATCTTGTCCAGGCTTCCCTGGAACCACTACCCTCCCAAACATCACCAAGAAGAAACTCAGTCACCTTTGACTCCTGCTGTTCTAGCCCCACATCACTTACACCTGACCGTGCTCCAAAATCATAAGGCCCAGACTCTTACTCCCTCTTACCTTGACCCTATGACCCACTCGTCTCTACTGAGAAAAGACGAAGATGTTGGTGGCAGGAGGGAGGTCCTGGACCTCTGTAACTCCAGGAGAACCCTTGAAGAAAGTGGTCTGAAGCAACTAAGCAGTAACAATTAGTCGGGAATGCTGACCCCAAATTGTATTTGGACATATTCGGATCATGTTCAAGATTCCTATCAATGTTACCTCAGAAAGACTGTCCCTAGGTAGAGGGATGCGTCTGGGAGGCCCTATGTCAGTTTGGACATTTTTCTCTTTAAGTTAGAAAGAGCTTGGATTTAGAATAATGTTAAATAAAATAAAATGGTCAGACTTGGGCCTAAGATGCAGAGTACAGGATTAGTACTTTTTCTCTTTGACAACAGGATGAGAAGATCATAGAAGGGCCCTTGGGGGCCATCTCAACCACTTCCTCATTTTAAGTCTGAGTTGCTGAGGCTCCAAGGCCACACGGGTAGTAGCCGGCAGAGGGAGGGTTGGAACCAGATCCTTGGCCTTCATGCCCAGTCGCCTTCTACTGCCTCACACAGCCTCCATCAGATAAAAGGGCTCTCACTCCAAGTGGGGGAAAAAAGTAAAGATGTAAGCTGGAAAAATTCAAAGATAAATATGTTTAGCAAAAAGGTCTTAGGAAAACTTGACTTTCTAAAACTTGAAGCAATTCATACAGCTAACATTTTTTCTCCCAATAACAGGTAAAGAAAAATCCTCTGAAAACAAGCCTCGAAATCATTACCAGTTACTTTTTGGATCATTTTGGAAAGAACAGTTACAATTTAATACAAGAAACACCACTTTCTATTGTTTCAGCTTCCAAGATGAATAACAAACTACCTTTGAAATGCTCTGTGAATTCTGCAGTGAATAATAATAATACATGTGAGATTTCACCTGACCATGGAAAGAACAGGTACCATCTTGCATTTGTTATAATAGCTGCATTTCCTGCAGTCCAGTAAACACTTTTGTGGCCCATGCTTGGGCTTAAATTAAAGGTATTTGGGGGGTGAAAATATCTACCACGCAAAAGTTTTATTCCTGTCAAGGGAAAGAGAAGAAAGTAAGACGGTATGGCGCCTACTATGCATCAGGCACCCCACTAAGCGCTCTATAAATATTCTCTTTTCAGTTGTGTCATTTATAGAAGGAGGCTCCACATCTTGAAATCCAGAGAGGGTCAAAAAGGAAGTATTTGGGGAACCCTTTTCTGTCCTGCTGGGAGCTAGTGCCTTCCCCTAATTTAAGTGGCACTGCCTTTAACAATCGGCCCCTTACCCGGCTGCCCGCAGCCCTCCTCACTGGGCCGTGGGGGCCGCTCTTTGGGGAGCCCCTCGGTCGGTGGCCCACCGCGCCAGGCTCCGGGATCTGCCAAGGTTCTCTCGCTCTCCTCGGCTGCCGGGTGGACCGATGCCCCGCGCCCCTCTCCCGCCGCTCGAAAGCCTGGGGCAGGACCCGGGCACCCCGCGGGCGGCTGGCACAGCGGGAAGGGGCCGCCAAGGGGCAGCGGGCTCCTGCCACGAGGGCCCGGCGCACGGGGGCGGCGGCGAGGCAAGCCCGTGGCCAGCCGTGGGCAGCCGTGGGCACCGCCGGGCGCACGTGGGCGGTGGGAGGGAGCGAGCGGGCGGAAGCCAGGAGGGGTGGGGGGAGCGCGGGGCGGGGTCGCAGCTCGGCGCATGGGCAGTGGGGGCGGGGCGAGGCTCCCCGCCGGGTCCCTCGGCGCATGTGCGGCGGCTCCGTGCTGGCGCGCGGCGCGCATGCGCACAAGGACGCCGGGCCGGAGCCCGAAGGAGGGGCGCCGGGGCATGTCCACGGCAGACGTCAGCCTGCCCCCCCCCCCCATCGGGCCGCGGGGCCCCGAGCGTGGGGCGAGCCCCCGGCCGCCTCTGCCGTCCCTGCCCTCTCCGGGCCTCGACCTCCCCTGAGTCCCCGAACCGCTGCCTGCCTGCAGCCCATGCCCAGGTAGCGCGGCCCACCTGGCGTCCGGCCCGGCGTGGAGAGGAGACCGCTGGGGTGGGGGCAGGAATGGAGAGAAGCCTGGGAGGAGGAAGAGGAGGAGGAGGAGGAGGCCGAGGCCTCTGCCCGAGTGGGCGGGGGGCGGGTCACACACACCTGGGCTGCACCTCGGGTCGCTCCCTGCCCGCAGGGGTTCTCCAGCGAGCCGATGACGTCAGTCAGTCAGCCTGGCCCCCCCCCCCCCCCCCCCCCGTGGGGGGACTGCCCCGAGAGGGAAGGGGTTCGCCCTCCCCCAGCACAGGCATCCTCTGCCTCAGGCTGGACGCTTCCCATCACACCCACCGCAGACCTCTGGGGGGACCCTCTTTTACCCATTAGACCCCCTGGCACAGGTCCCTGGTCTGCCCGTCCAGCCCGTCCAGCCTTCCTCTCCTGAGCGCCAGTCTTGTGTCGTTAGCTGATGACATGTCCAGAGGGAAGGCGACAAGCATTTAGTGAGTGCCTACTGTGTGCCAGGCCCCGTGCTGACTAAACGCTTTAGGGATGGGATCTCATTGGATCCTGGGAGGTGGTTCACTTGTTTTTCAGTCGTGTCTGCCTCTCCGATCCCTTTTTGAGGGTTAGGATTGAGGTTGGAGTGGTTTGCCATTTCCTTTTCCAGCTCATTTTACAGATGAGGAAACTGAGGTAAACAGGGTGAAGTGACTTGCCCAAGGTGGCACAGCTAGTGTCTTGAGCACAGATTTGAGCTCAGATCTTCCAGACTCCGTGGCCAGCTCTCATTGCCCTTTGTGGGTGGGGGAGGGTGGCATCAGAGAGAGTAACTTAATTACATGACGCTCAGCGTCACACGGCTAGTAAGTGTCTGAAGCCGAATTTGAACTCGGGTCTTCCTGACCCCAGCACCACCGCTCTGAGTGCTGTGGCGCTCCGTGGCTGTCAGAACACTTCTCTTTCTTCCAGGCCCTGCCTTCTTCCTACTTTCCGTATCCTTAATCACCTAGGCCCAAAATCTTGACTCCCTTGACGCCTTCCTTCACATACTGCACATATCCAAGTGGTTACCACAACTTGTCATCCCTTTCTTCACAACCCACGGGCCTGATTGTGTCTTGTCACCTTCTGATTCTCCCTGCCAAGCTGTCCTCCTGTCAGCTGCCAGGGTGTTCTCCTAAAGAGTCCATCTGCCCGTGTCCTATACCCCCAAGATCCAATCATTTGGCCCTTTGGCGTTTCTTCACAGCCAGGCCCCTTCCTCCCTTTCAAGTCTCCCGGTAATTGGCTCTGATCCGGCTACTTTGGCCAATAGTGTGACCTCAGCCCTGGCCCTCAGATCCAGTTCTTCTGAGGGAGGTCTTTTCCTTCTCGGATTCCATCTGCTCTGAATGTATCTGGTATGTACCTAGTCGTTCATATGCTTTCCCCATTAGAAAGTGACCCTCAGGACAGGGCACCAGCCCTGAAATCAGGAGGACCTGAGTTCAAATCCGACCTCAGACCAAACACTTGACACTTACTAGCTGTGTGACCCTGGGCAAGTCACTTAACCCCAATTGCCTAAAAAAAAACCAAAAAACAAAACCAAAAAAAAAAAACCCAACAAAAAAAAAGAAAGTGACCCTCAAAACTGGCCCTTTCCCTCTCTTTGTGTCCCTGTTCCTTAGCCCAGGGCCCAGCGGTTAACAATTCTTCAGAAATGCTTGGTGACCGAATGATATGCAGTGCTCAGATAAGTAAAATCAGTGTGTTTTGAGATGGGGGCAGTATTAGGGAAAGCTTTGTCGTTGAGTTGGCAGCTATTTTGGTCCTTGTAGGAAGACCTTTTGGCCTTCCTTCCTGTTGGGTCAAGCCTTGTTCAGTCTTCCACTTAGAGCTGAGTTTGGGGCAGAATGTATGCCATCTGCCCAACAAATACTGCTTTAGAACCTAGCGGTCCCGGGTCTTGTTATTACAACACCAGCCCAATAAGCTAATCACCTTTCTCACCTTTTCTGACGTGGATGAGGGACAGCCCAATGCCTTTCCCTCTTGTGCTGACCTCTTAGGAAGCAGAAACCTTCTACATCTTGATAGAAAAGATGGGAACCCACTTCTGCTTCATTTCGGATCATGTTGCCATCCGTACAGAAAAGTGCCCACAGAATTGTTTAATAAGTGAAAGCACACTGGAGGAGTACAGACAGTAGAGTCCCGGGGCCCCCTGGTAACCAGGCTTGAGGGACATGGATGAGAGAAATCCTTTTAGAGTGATTGGTCATCAAACAGTCCGATTTGCTCAAGGTTAGAAACAGCAGCAGCACTCCACAAAGGTGTATACAGTAAGTGCTTAAGGATGAGAGGCTGGTCAGCCTCTAACCAGGGCCCCACTCAGCCCAAGGAAGCGAGAAGCTCATTCAGGGAGATGTTTGTGAATGAGAAAGCAAAAGGAGCTTGTGCCCCATATATAGTAGGTACTTAATAAATGTCGATTGATTAAATAGCTTCACTGCTTAAGCTCTGAATGACTACTGGGGCTCACTAGTCCAGACAGACCAGAGAAACACTATGAGATTGATTGAAAGCTAGCAGGGGCCATAGAAATGCATCTGGTCAATCTTCCTCATTTTAGAGGCGTTTGGAAACCCGAGGGGTCTGGTGAGGCCAAGCCTTGGCCAAGTTCTGCTTTCCACAGTGATCAGAAAGTAGAGGAAGTCCACAGGTTTATTTTTTTGAGGATGAGCACAGGCCTGGAGGCCTAGAAGAAACTTTAAGCGTCTCCCTGTTGTGTTAAGCCAAGTGTTAGAGGGTCATGGTGTTACAGGATTTAGGGCTAAGAGGGATCCTGGGGATGATCTAACCGGAAGCCCCTCCTTTTACAATTAGGGAAACTGAGACCCATAGAGCTAAGGGGACTTTTTACCAAGGCCTCATACCAAAGCCCAGATTTGAACTCCCTAGGTCTTCTGACCTCCAGATTCAATATGCTCTGCCCAACCACCTGTAATTTGGACAAAATGGTTAAACCTCATCCTTGAAAATTATCTACCTGCCTTGGACAATTGCAAGTCTGCACTGGTGGAGGCAGAATTCCTAGTATTGCAATGCATAGCCTCAAAGGCTTTAGGAGTTAAGCAAAAACTCACACCCTATTAAAGTCATTTTGTGTGATAATTTGCTGGTAGTGGGTTCTGTCATGTGGTTTATGTGCTATGCAGTGTGGTGGAGGGATAGTTGGAGGGCAAAGAGCTCTTCCCCGAGTGGTGTTGGCTGGGCCTTGAGGTGGTGAACGCGGGGGTGGTGGTAGTGGCTCTCTGTTGGAGGGACCTGAGCCTGTCTTGGGACCCTGCTTTGGGAAGACTGTCTTGCCCTTGGTGACCCTCAAGGCAGCTGTCCTGGCCATGCCTAAAATGGGTACTTCCTCTGAGACTCCAGACTTCCTTTTTTCTTGGGAAGGATTGTCATGTTTGTTGGTTTGGGATGGCCCCATCAAAATGGGATTTGAGATTAAAATATGAATGCAAGATGTGATTGTGAGCTTATTCCTTCCCTGGGATTTGTTCATTGGAAGGCTGAGACTCTGGAACAGGAGGGCCTGGCTCCTCTCTCCACTTCTCTCCCCCATGTCCGGGACATAGTAGATGCTTAATAAATGTGGAATTAAATTGTTGAGGCAGCGAGGATAGCAGCAGAACCGCAGCTGGGGTGGCGTGTCTTTGAATGGGAAGGCCGGTGTCTGGGCCCTGTGGGCTGGCTTCACCAGCACTGATGTTCAGAACAAAAAGGGTGGGTTCTCAGCATTCCTGGCATGGGAGTTAGCACTTTCTGAAGTCAACAAACCATACTATTTATTTTTCCTTATATAGCACATTGAAAACCACAGTTGTGTGGAATATGCCATAGGAAAAACATTTTTTTGAATAGCAAATAAATCCATTTCCATCTGGGGTTACCTTGGCGGCCTTTCAGGAATTTTCTGTTTGGGATAAAGAGTAGAGAAGAGCCTCAGGGGTAGCCTTGCATTAGAAAACCACAAATGAACATTGTCTGTGTTGTGTTGTATTTTTATTTCTTCTGTTCAACATTTCCCAGCGAGCATTTAGGGTAGTGCATTTAGATCTGGTGGGGCCAACGCTCCCTAATGGCTGTGACCCGTCTGCAGTACAAACAGCTGGAGTCAAATAGACCAAAGAAAGCTCCATCCTCTGCCCTCTGCCTTTTGGATGTCATGCTGAGCCTAGTGAGGGATTTTTCTTTCATTTTAAAATGACAGTTCAGCCCATTATTTATACTCTGACTGTGACTAATCTGAATGGAAATAAGATTTTGTGAAAGTAATAGGAGTAAACTGGACCAGGGTATAGCACTTCAGCTTTTCCTAAATTCTTGCAGTAGTGAAACATGCTCTAAAAACACTAAGAAAGGGCTGCCTTGTTTTAAGACTCTATCCCTCGCCCAATGACAATGCATTTCCTGTCACTTACTAGATGGCATATTTGCCTGGTGGTGGGAAGTGTTCAGGTAATAGTGTAAGTGCTTGGGGATTGTGAGGAGTGATGTGAGCTCTTAAACCAAACCTCTTCTTTCCGGTAGGCATGGTGAATGTGACGGGGACATGCTTGGTAACACTGCGTCCCCCAAGAGACCTCTGCATAAAAGCAAAACCCTCAAGTCCATTGCAGGAGATGGTAATTGTTCGCCCCCAGCCGGAAGGGAGACGATCATGGCCAGCAGCGTGGAGACCCCCAAAATGGCAGAGCCTTCTTCAGAAGTGAAGAAAATGGGAGATGTCAGACTCAAGCCTGGCCTCTTGGCTAGAGGAATTTTGTCTGGGCCCATCACCAACTCGCAAGAGGTTGGTATTATTTGGATGATGATGATGGTGATAATGATGATGATGATGGTGATGGTGATGATGGTGATGGTGATGATGGTGGTGATGGTGATGATGGTGGTGATGGTGGTGGGGTGGTGATGGTGATGATGATGATGGTGATGGTGACGATGGTGATGGTGACGATGGTGATGATGATGGTGATGATGATGATGATGATGGTGGTGATGGTGGTAGGGTGGTGATGGTGGTGATGGTGATGATGGTGACGGTGACGATGATGATGATGATGGTAATGGTGACGGTGACGATGATGATGATGGTGATGACGATGATGGTGACGGTGATGATGGTGATGGTAACGGTGACGATGATGGTGGTGATGATGATGATGATGATGGTGATGGTGATGAAAGAGTCTTAGTCTTTGTGGGGGGGTAATAAGATCTGGCTCTGCCTCAGACTTGCTCTCTGATCTTATGACCTTAACTTGCTTCTTTATAGAAAGAGGGGGTTGGACTAGTGGATTTTTGAGGTTCTTTTGAATTCTAAAATGCTGCCATATTCTTTATTACTTGCTATGTGCTGGATTAACTCCATCTCACCTGTCCTCTTTGGCACTGGGGAGTGGGTCTAGCTAAGGCAGAGGGCAGCTTCATCCAGGAGTTAAAACAAACCAATAATGGCCTCCATAGTGACTTTTAAAAGAATGTCTCTTAGGGAAAATACCTTTTAAATGAATTTGTTGTTTTATAATCTCCTTTAAAATTATCTCGTCAGGTAGCTCACCAGATCCAGTGAGCTCACAAAAGCCAAAAAATGGGCCCTGTAGCCTTGAGTTGCCTGCCAGTCAGTCCTCTGCTTGACCCCTGTGTACCTGGGCAGCTGCTTAGGCCACTTTGCATCGATGGGCTAGGATAGGAGATAGAGGAGGCCACCCTCCTTGTGGCCGAGGCAGAGGAACCGAGCAAGATGACAGCCCTTTCCCCATCTGGGTTCTAGACCCACTTTCCCCATGGTCATAAAGAAGGTCTGCTTCTCTGGGGCTCTGTTTCCTTATCTTTAGGAGGAGTCTGTGATCATTCAGTCCCATTTTGTCTCTGATTTCCAGGGACTTTTCAGAAACTAATGACTTTGTTTTTGTCTGGACCTGTGTAGGGAATGCCTTGTGTGGAAACTCTCTCCCTCTGTGCAGCTCAGCACATCCCATCCATTCACTCTGACTTGTCATCAGAGAGAGTTAGTTCCTCAGGCCTTAGGGGGGCTTTGCCTTGTGCAGAAATGATCTGCTTGTTAGGGCAGATGTCAGTCAGGGCCTGCGGGACCACGCGGCAGCTGGTTGAGAGGTCAGGTGCAGGTTCCAGTGCTGAATCAAATGTCCAGTGAGAGGATCCTGTTTTCCGTGAAAGTCGCTGGGGTGACAACACCACGAGGCTTTTCATGTCCGTAGTTCCTGTGCTTTGGGAAATGATGCCTCAGCCTCTTCCGCAGCTGAATCGAGAGCCGAATGGCTGGTGGCTAGAGGGGTCAGCGCCAGGAAGACCAGGGGTCCGATCTTGCTTTGACTGGCACTCACTGTGTGATCGTGGATTTAAAGCTGGCAGGAAGCCAGCTTTGTGAGCGAGGTTGTGATGCCCCCAAGGTCATGCCTTAGTGACCGAGGTGGGGTCGGATTCAGGTCCTTCGCCCCCTCCAGCTCTGGTTGATCTTTGTAGATGTAGCTTCAGGCCTGTCCTGAAGAATAACCAGCGCTAATTATTGAGTTTATTTCTGGGACTTCCAGGAGCTTTGTGGAAGAATCAGTTGAGCCGGTCAGTGCCAAGCAGTGAGCCTTCTCTGGGGTGTAGTTGGGGGAAGACTTTGTGGCTTGAGGGAGGTGAGATCCCATTTCCCAAACTTGGTCCTCACCTGATATCTTGAGAACTCGGGCAGCACCCCAGCCCCAGCTCAGGGCAGGGCAGGGCAAAGCAGTGAAGGGCACGCAGTTCCTCAGGGAGTCTGTGATGGAGGCTGCCGGCACTTGGCGCGTGTTTCCTCACGCTCACACCTCCCCTCTGTCATCGGGCTTTGTGTCAGGGCCGCTCAGGCATGCTGAAGATGGCAGGTGTTTGTAGGGCTTTGGGTGTCTTGGCTCTGTCTGATTGGTATCCCACCTCTGAGGTTACAGACTGGGAGAATGCATGGCAGGCATGGGAGGGGAGGTCCTGGCAGATAGCAGAAGAGGCAGGGGCACCAGGCAGAGGACCAGTGTGTCTAGGGAGAGGCCGGTCTCTTGCAGAGAGACTCAGCCTGCAGACAACCATGGGATAAGCGCTGCACATCTTGGCAGTTTAACTTAACCATGCAGAATGACAGCCTCGTAGTAATCCCACAACCAGGCTAAGTCCCCACCATGCAAGCGAGAGGTCAAGGGTTCAAGGTTATAGCTTTTTTTTTCTAGTTGATTGTGGTGGGATGAGGGAGCGATGGAAAAAAAAATGAGATTGATGAATACTTTGTGGGGGGTTAATTGTTCTGGTGCCGCGTCCTTGTGCATACCTTTGTCCCCCCCTTGTCACCCCTCACTAAGAGACAAGGAGCCAAAGGGCCTCTGACGTCACTTCCGTCATGTCCCGGGAGGGGCATCTCATGGCCGAGACAGTGGAAACAGAGGCAGAGGCGAAGAGCTTGGTGTGGCTCGGGCAGGACACAAGCCCTGACGCGCAGGGTTTTTAAAGCTATCCACGTGATAGGAGGATGGGAGGTCGGTAGTCATGGTGAGCATGCTGAGAATGGTGAGAATTCCTCGCTGCTCGGGTGATGATACTTTGCGTCTGTTTTCTCTGCTAACGACACCGTTGGTCTGGAAAGGACAGAGCTCAAAATGGCCAAGAGGCAGAGACGCTGGCTGAGTTGTAAGTGCTGTTTGTCCTGGACAGTGGGCGACAGTTCACGTCCCTCACCTTGGCGAATCGTATCTCTGGGACTGGCAGATAAAGGTGCCAGGCCTCTCATTGAGAAGATCAGCTGGTCCTGGAGGAAGGCAGGCGTCCTGATTGTCAGAAAAGCGGAGTAGAGTCTGTAGACGCCGTGTTCTTGGCTTTAATTCTGGAGTGCTGGGTTCCAGGTGGAGTGAGTCCACATCTGAAAAAGGACGTGGTGATGGAGACGTGTTTGCACGGTGTCGTCCGGGACAGGTCTTTCCTGACCGGCTTCATTTCCCATTTAGACGGGGTTCCTACAATGGGAGATCAAAGAGACTCTTGTAGGTACAGACTGCCTGCATCGTAGCAAAATATTGGCTGGCATTTCTCATACTCTTCTTGTGGAAAAGAGAAAGGGACGCATGCCACACTAGGGCGTGAGTGGGTCAGCGCAGACGAGGCTGAGTGACTGGCTCCACGGAGTAGGCATTAATGACTCACCGTGACCCCGGGCCAGAGGCCGGGATCTCAGCTTGGCTCTGTGCTGTTTAATCATCCTTGTTTGGGTGTGGTGGGTGAGAGAGTGGGAGCCCAGAGCGACCTCTGTGGGCCCGGAGTTTGGGGCCAAGCCCAAGAACAGGAAACTTAGGAAGGATAGATAAAAAGCCTCTCACTTTGGTTCAACAAAACAACTTCAGAGTGCAAAGATGTGGGGAAGGAATGGCTGGACAACAGTTTGCTTTAAAAAGCTAGGGGGTTTCCATTGCCCATAGGCTCAGTAGGCCCTGAGAGGGCAGCATGGTGGCCACACAAAGAGGAGCTCAGTGTCCAGCGCTGGGAGGGCTGTCTTGTGCTCAGTTCTGGGCATCCCGTTTTACGAAAGATGGTGAGAAAGCTGGAGAGTGGCCAGGATGGGGCCGGGTCTCAAGATCAGGGAATGGGTCACTGAGAGAGGAGGAGAATTGGCAGGGTTGTGAGTGCCCTCTTCATGCTTTTGAAGGGCCCTCATGTTCTGCTTGGCCCCAGAGGACAGAGTCTGGGGCAGCAGAGAGAATCTGCAGGGGCAGTGGTAGGCAAGACATAAGGAAAAACCCCAACAAGTGGGGCTCTCCTCAGGTGGAGTGAGCTGCCTGGCGAGTCACCGCATGTTCTCAGACAAAGGCTGGCCTGCCATTAAACAAGGCCTGACTCCAGCCTCTCTCCTTCCCCTTCCTCACCCATTGGGAAGGCAAGAAAAACAGCCACCGTTCAAGAACATTACAGCTTCTGGTTGAGGTGTGTGTCTCTGCTGTGCCTTACGGTTCCTGAACGGTTGTCATTTCCAAAGGTCATTTTTGATTGTGGCGCAGCAGGTGGAGGTTTGGGTGTGCCATGGCGGAGTCAGAGGCCCTGAGCCAGCATCCCGGCTCTTGTGAGGCTGTCTCACCAGCCATGCTCCCTCTCTGAGCCTCAGCTCCTTCTGTAGAAATGAGAAGGTTTTACCAGATGACTTCTAGAGGCCTTCCCAGCTCCAGTGGTCTGTCCCCCTGTGGATGTGTTTGGGAGGGGCGCTGTTCTTTGGTGCTCTTCTTGATGGAGCAAGGTGCTCAGTAGCTGGGTCATAGAATGTGCCTTTGGAAATAGGACGAGTCATAGGGTTCATGTTCACGGCTATGTAGGATTTCCCTGGTGTTAGTCTCTAATACAGAAGAACTGAGGCAGCCTGGCAGAGATGAGATTTGGGTTCTAATCTTGGCTTTACCACTAACTCACTGTGTAACAGTAGGAAAGTCTCTCTCTGGGCCTCAGTTTCCCCATCTGTATAATGGGTGTGTGTGTAAACTAGCCAGTCTCTAAGGCCCCTCCTAGCTCAGAGAGAGACATAAAAATGACTATTGGTAATAGCATGCCAAGTAGGGATGGAGTAGACTCTAGATGGACAGCTAGGGAACCTGGGGAAGGGGGGAAGTCTTCAGGGGATGTTTCTCAGCCCACTTTGAGAGAACCCAGGGGCACTCTGAGAAGAGGAAAGCAACAGGGTGCTCCCCCCGGAGGCATGTGAGGGGGGATCAAAACCCTTCTCTCTCAGACTCCCAGCCCAAAGCTCAGAGGATCCATCATCCACTCATCTGTCTTTCAGTAGCATGCCCCTAATATTTGGAATGACAGTCCAGCCCCTTTTCCTGAAACTCCAGGCAACAATGGAGAGGTGGAGAGGTGAGGTCCACCACCTGAATATAGAGGCCCTGAGCCGCGGTCTTAGCCTTGGCCCTGACCCGGCTGGCCAAAATAGCACCCACTGAGTTCTGCCAACACCCCCCACCCCTGTTAAAAAGCCTAAAGATTATCTGTCTTTGTATCTTCAGTGTCTTGTATAGTGCCTGGCATGTAGTAGGTACTGGATAAATACTTCCAGATTGATTAGGCAGTGATTCAGAAATGCCGGCCGTCGGTGATTGTTTTTAATGGCTTCTCTGTCAGTGATTAGCCTCAGGTTACTGCAGGAAGTTTTGGTTATGTACGATTTTCAAGCAAAGTGGAACCCGTTAGACGTTGTACTCTGCGGCATTGGACGATGGTTTGAGCCAGTTCCTATGGAGGCGCCTCCCCTTGCCCAGCAGCAATGAAAAGAAAAGATTTCGGTTCTGCTAAAACTCTGTTGTTGTGAAGGGATCTGACTGAAAACACTGACTGCTTTTTGTTGGTAACTTTCTCAGGATCCCCTCAGAAAACGTTTCCTGAGACGGTTGTCAGGACTGAACGCAGCGCAGAGCAGAGACCAAGACCCTCCCGAATCCTTAGAGCTATCCCTTACTGGCCACGTTCTGTCTGACGCCTCGGCGGCTAAGAATGCCTCTTCCTTCAAAAAGTCCCTGGGCAGTCACAGCAGTCTGGACTCCGAGAAGCGGAAGAACCCGTCCAGCGCTTCTGACCCTCTCAGCAAGATGCGCTTGGACAAAAACAGACTGAAAGACTTCCCGGAAGGCAAGGCCACAGTGAGCGATACCGCCGAGAAGACTGGGCCAGATGGGAGCTTGCTCTTTCCCTGTGGAAGTTCACAGCCTTCTCAGGGAAGACAGGAAAAGGCTTTCAAATGGAATCCTCAGTCGTTGGCCAACAGGTAAGCCTTTGGTGAGCTGCAGCTCCTTTCTAAAGAGGGCCTTGAATAAACCAGAGGAGACACGTGAGTCTGTACCCAAGTGACCCAACTGCCTTCTTATGTAACAAACCCCCTTGGGACCGTTCCTTTTACCAGGGAATTCATGTCTGGACCCATGGCAGCTGCCTTCCCCGGAGACCTAGCCGAAGCTTAGTGGAAATGGAAAGCCCCGGCAGGTTGGCTCGGTGTGTCTCGAATTCCCTTTCTGTCCCCTTTGCTCCCTGTGGTGGCGTCGCCATCCCAGCCTTCTTCTCAAAGCCCCCCCTTATGAGCTGCTTAGTCCATTCGGGCTGCCTTCACCCAGTCTCCCTTTCAAAATGTGCTTTTAAAAAAGGACTTTTTAGCTTTATTCACTATAAAGGAAGGAGCCACTGATTAAACAGCATTTTCATATGTTATCTTTACGGGGGAGAGGGGCCAGAGGTCAGCTAGACCAGGGGCCCCAGTGCTGCTGGGGGAGACACACTCCGGTGGGAGAGCTTCCCCTGCTAATAGGGGGGTGGAGGGCTGCCTGCTCCTCCTCTTCGGAAGGCGAGGTCGATAATAAATAATGACGTGGTAGGTTGTTGTGATTGTACTGTCTTTCTTTCCATATTAGTTCCCCCTTCCTAGATTAAGTGGAGGAAGGACAGATTTACCGTGCCTTAAGCATGGGTACATCATTAATTTAGCTGTGAGTCACTTGCTCTAAGTACTCTGTTTAGCTGACACGATTTATTTGTCTAGGTTCCTTATTAGTCTGGGTACCCTAAGACTTCAGATAACCAGAACTCAGCTGACCCAAATTTTCAGTTAACTGAAATTTCCCTTTGAGGAGAAAGGCACATGATAAGAAAATACAGCTTGAAACAGAATTATTGGATGGGAAAACAAAGCTAATATTGGCTTCATATGAACATAAACCAAAAACTGCCGTGAAGATGGGAAATAAGGCCAAGATTCCAAAACAGCCTTTGAGAACACCACTGACTGGACACGTTCTTAAATCTACACAAAATACCAATGGCAGAAATGAAAACCTTTTACAGAAAAGTAGAACTGCTTCTGAAGCCTCACTGGTAAAAGGGGATAAAAGGATGATTTTCTCACCATCTCAGAGATTTACTGGGAGAAATTGCTTGGCACCGTAGACTGGAAAATGTTCTAGAGAACAGAGGACATAGAGTCTTTTCCTCCACCTTCCATTAATTACCTGTGTGACTTGAGGCCAGTTGGCATCTCTCGGGCTGCCATGTGCTCGGCCAGACCATCTCTGAGGTTTGCTCCAGCCCCATCCTCTAGGAGATTTGGGCTTTAACTCCCAGCAGAGGTCCTGGGGCTGGCCTGCATCAGGCTGATGGATCTCCTACACGGATGAAAATTCCCCCTCCCCGGGCTGATTGGAGGCCATTTAAGCCCACATGAAGACAGCAAAGTCATGGTTCCATTTTAAAAGGATTTTCAGGAAGGGCTTTTGTCATTGTGGCCAAAGGAGGCATCCCCTTGTGGTGGCGGCCAGGTGTTTGCTGCTGCCAAGAGTCTCTTGGCACTGACCTCGTCCGGTCTGGAAGCCCATCCAGTCTGGTAGAAGCTGCTTGAGCTCTCCTAGTGAGCCTTGGAGGTGGGGAAAGCCTGCTGGGGACCTGGGTTGGAATCCAGGCCCCAGCACTTACTGGGTGACCAGGGACGAGTCTTCGACTGTAGGCCCCAGTTTCTTCAACTCTAAAAAGGGAGTAATGACAGCAACCCCACAGTTTTGAGGAAAGTGCCTGGTAAACTTTAAATCCCTTCAGCAATGTGAGCACTTGGCTTTTTAGCCCAGAAAAATTGAATGAATGAGCTAGAGCTCCTAGTTAATTTTCAGGCTCTTCTCCTGAGCACCGAGCTCTGAGTTAGGTAAACCAGAGCAAAGACAAGGACTGGCAGTGAGCAGGCCAGTGGGGTGCTGTGGGAGAGACGCCATGCACATCAGCGACGCTATTGGCCACTGAGGACGGGAGATTTTTGGCCTGGAGCTGAGGACCCCAGGTGAGGCTGGACACCCGCTAGCCAGGCTCAGCCTGCAGGAACTCTAAGGGAGCTTAAGAGATTCTGGGCTTTCTGAGAGCCATTCCCTGTACCTGCCTACAAGCCCTGACCCTGGTGGGGTCTCAGTGCCTCACTACCCTGACATGCGTACCTGGGCCAGGTTTGGCGGAATTCATATTTTCCCGTGTGTAATTGTTGATGATGTTGGGCGATCTGGCTTAGAGAAAAGAGCCATTAATGAAACCTCACAGCTCTGTCACTGTCACGCCCAGACCTTTTAATTAACAAGCTGTGTACATAGGCTCCAATATATCAATGTAGGCAGGTGGTGGGGCAGCAACATTGGTTTGGCCTTGAAAACCTTCTCTGCCATTTCTCTGTGAAAGACTTCCCATCTCTAACCCCAGAGGAGTTTGCCGGGGTGCAGGTGTTGGCATGGTGGGACGGGCTGTCTCCAGGGGGCAGCTCCTGTTCTCGGAGTCTTTGGGCACATTCTTAGATGGCCTCTGGGGGGTCTGGACATCCTCTTCCTTGGGGAGTTGGCCCAGTTCAGTGCTGAGCTCCCTCTCGCCTCCTCTTACCTTCTGTGATTTTTGTGCTCAGTTGTCACTCGTTGGAGCCTCCAGACGAAGGTGCTCCTGGCCCGCCCTTGCTCGTTTCTCCAGGGATGCGCCATCTCCCCTCCTGGTGGGAACACAAGGAATTCAGTCTGTGGCTGCAGAACCAAAGTTTGTTTTGTCTTCCTATGTTGAGCTAATTGGCCAGACAAGCTTGGTGGCCTCATTTGTATTTTAGTCAATGACGAGCATCTGTTGGGTGGCTGCTGGGTCCGTGGTCTCGGGCTGCTTCCTAGGGGACACGGTGCTGGAGCTGCTTCTTTCCTCCCCAGATTACCCTGTTGGTGCTTGCCTCAGGAGGGCGGCCCTTTCTTTGTGCCCACGGTGCACAGAGCAGATGCTTCGTGGATGTTCCCTGCTGTGGGCTGTTGGGTTAGTAGTGGGGGCTCTTCTGAACTTGCCCCGGACTTGTGAAGGCTTCGCCACTCTTTCGGTTCCCAGTGTCATCCTTGACTTTTCCTTCTGCCTCACCCCATCTCTCCAGGCCTAGTTCCGTGGCCTCTTCCATGGACATTCCCTTCTTGCCACTCCTAAAACGTGACTCTAGTTTAGGCCCGTTGCCTCTCCCTGGCCACTGCACCAGCTTTCTTCCTGCTGCCTCTGCCTCCAAGCTCTCCCTTCCCATCTCCACACAGCCGCCAAGGTGATTGAGTCAGCGAGGAAACTTCTCGCCGGGGTCCGAGTCTTGATGACAAGGGGGGGCGGTTACTGGGGTGGAACTAACCTTTCCATCCCAGACTTTATGACAGAGAAAGAGAGGAAAGCCAGGCGTAGTCTGACGGCTCCCCAGATTTCTGGGGAAATTTCATATTTCAAAGATTCAGAGGGAGGCGTTAAGTCGGTTCTGTTGGCCTGCGAGTCTGGAAGGAATGATTGCAGGATATCTCTGGAATGAAATTCCGACTAAACGAAGGGCAACAGGCCTGCCCAGGAGGGCCAGGGCACAGTGTGGGGGCAGAAGGAGCTTGCTGACCAGCTTCAGTTTTAGAAAGGACAGAAACAAAGACTGGGGAGGGGGCAGAAGAGGGCCAGCCGCACAGTGGAGTCAGGTCCACCAGTCTTTAAAGGACGAGAAAGGGAGGTCGGGTTTGGGGGCTTTAAGAAAGTGATGTTGGTGAAAAGAGGGGTTCAGACAAAGGTGAGAGTGGCTGTGGGGACTGTGGGGGGAGGGTAATGCTACCCTCAGCGGCTCGGCTCGAATTGTCAGGGAGACTGTTGTTTAGAGGGAGAGGGAGAACCAAAGAACATTCGTGTCCAGACTTGTACGTGACAGGGATGAGTTAATTAGTTAAAAGTCGTTATAATTAAAGCAGGCGATTGCCTCTCGGTCTGTCTCTGCAGCTGTGTTTTAGAGGGACGTACACCCCCCAAAGTGGGCGCTTGCCTTGAGTTCTGAGGGACTTTATATAGCAACGTAAAGCCTGCTTAGAGTTTGAACTTGCATGCGAAAATGGCCGGTAGGTGGCAGCAGACCTCCGTGAATCCAGATAGAGCAGTAAATACATTCTGCAGATAGAGGACTAGTGTGGAGTGCTAGAAACATCTGTATCTCACAAGATAGAGTAAGGAGAGAATTTTAATTTTAAATTTATTTCTTATTGCTTTAATTGTTTAAGTCCAGACTCTTCACATCAACTAGATTTTGTTAGTTCAAAGAAACACAGTAAATAAACCCAAGGAAAGACACCTGAGGCTGTTAGGGGATGGGGATGGCTTGGAGTCCAAGAAACTCTGTCATCTTGGGTGACTTGGGGTCTGTAAGATTGCTTCAAACTCTTAGGAGGATCTCCTTTCGTAAAGCGATTAAGCTCTTGTATGAACAGATAATCTTTCAGCCATTCACAAGCTTGAGGTGCTGTGTCTAAAGAGACGGAGGACCTGAAACATGTCTTTTTTTTAATTAAGTTATTTATTTTTAGTTTTCAACATTTACTTCCATAAGCTTTTGAGTTTTAAATTTTCTGCCCCCTTGTTCCCTGCCTCCCTCCCCAAGACAGCGTGCAGTCTGACATAGGCTCCACATGTACAATGAAACATGCCTTCTGGGAGGCTTTGGGGACCATCATGGCCCTTGGCTGTTGGTATCTTCTGGATGCAAACCACCCCCTCCTCCTGGGGCTCCTGAATCTAGGGAGCGCAAGTCAGTGGGGCTCGCTGTGATCTGGAGGAGATTTATTCGTGATTTCTGTATGGCTGGCCAGGATGATCTCTCTCGAGCCAATGCAGATATCCTGAACAAGCCTTACTTAAAAGAGAAGCAGCCTCATAAAATCACCAGTGTTCTCCGCAGACAGGAACATCTCTAGAGCCCCTCCATCTCTTCATGAGGTGGGGTTC